GTTCCAAAAGAGGCTCTTGATGAATTTAATTCGGGACATCTGGATTTAAGTGGAACCTTGCTAAGACCGTTTAACGTACAATATAGTGCCTATGAAGACTACTGTTACAAATGTTTGCGCTCCGGTGGAAGTTGTGGATCCAATCGAGCTTCTTCATTTGTATTTGCTTGCTACTGTCGCGATCGACCTTATGATGTAGAATGCGGAGGTAAGGGTATGTACTGCACAATAATCTTCATTTCAATGACTATTCTCAGTTTATACTAAAGGTTTGTTAATTAATAGTTATAATTCCATTGAAAAATTAATTAAATTAGTTCACCTAGAATAGCCTACTTTTCTTAGTTTCTAGTCCTGTTTCAGTAAGATCACTAACGTTACGGCACCAAAAATAGAAAAGAAAAACAAACTCCATATCCTCGCTTCTACTGGTATTTTGCCAACGGATTTATTAACATACAGTTTTTCTAATGAAAGCGAGTTTTATTGCAGGCAGGACTTCTCTTCGCAAGAGCAAACTAAAGCTAATTACTGGTACGCATGCATCACCAGTACTCTAACGACATGATTTGATTCTATTGTAGGCGGCAATTGTACTAAAAAATGGAAGATTGACAAGAGACAGCTGGACGCGAGAACAGAGGAGGATTTGCACGCTGGAAATTGCAGGGCTGGCCAAAACGACGTCGTTTTGGCCAGGAAATCTTTTTTTTTTTTTGAAATTCTTGCATATTGTATCGGTTAAATTTCGGCGTACCAGTCGGTATGCCGAAATTTCGATCGGTGCATCAAAATTTGACCGAAATCATCGGATTTTGATCGAAACGAAATCCTTTCTTACTTCATTTCGGTCTATTCCCAAAACCGATATGTACCAGCTGTACCGGTCAGTACGGTACGGTATATACTTATTTGATCTAAAGTCCTTTGCTAATAAGAACATGGAATATTAAGCCAAAAAAGATATTGCAGCAGAGTGATAAAATCTAAAAGAAAAATAATTGGTATCC